AAAAAATATGTAATTTTCCTCACGGCCCGTAAGCGAAATTTGCCAAGAAAAAAAATATTATATAGTACACTTGCTTTATTAATAATATAACTTAATAAAAATTACATGTATCAAATCTCTATTCTATAAATTTTTAGGGTCAAAACTGTTACTACCATTTCACTAGAACTATGCTCACTATCCTCAGAATCGGAATCATATAATATCTTGTGGATTGAACACGCAACAGCTGTTCTCAGAGTCATTAAAGCATGTATAAGCGGGTATATAGCACTTGGTGAGGTCATATGCAATGGAATGGTTGCCTCCTCTATTAAACAGTACTTGTAAATACTTGATTCTTTTCGCATAGCATAAAGCTCCATAACATCGCCTGTACAAAATAATATGGTTAAATGACAGAATAATGAATATAAAGAAGTAATATATATAATGTATTTACCTGCAATGTTAATTGTGAATATAGTCAAATTTTGCCTCTTCGATGATTGGTTAAATATTTTTTTAAGCTTTAATACATTTCTTGTAGTATCAATAGAATCTTTGGAAAAACGTATTAATTTTTTGTGATCACGAAGTTGTTTATCTTGAGTGGAATTAGGTCTACCGGTTTCGAGATATATAACTTCAAGTTCGGCATTCTTTCTTAACTATACTACTCCCATATAGTCGGCTCTTCATGCAATTTTACGAGAACCTTTTCGTATGGCACTAGCTGAACTTCCTTCTTCCCCCCTTAAGAAAAAAAAAATAATTATATACTGTATATAATAGTTAAAAGGTAGCATTTTTCAAGTCAAGCTTACCATATATCCCATACTACTGGTTTTCCTGGTAAATCGTTTATCACTATGTTTATCAATGGTGCTAGTACCTCGCAAACATATGACCCTTCGTTTATTGGTTTTTCCTTCTTTATATATGCTTCGTATTTTGGTGATTTTCAAACTTTAAGCCTACAGTTGACGAAAAAAATATATAAGCAAATTAAGATCATTCAAAACATTATTCCTGTACGAAAAAAAAATAAACTTACAATGACTCCAACATCTGTTTTGTTATTTTTTTAAGCTTTTGGGATGATCTATCTATTTTTCATAATCGATATTATCCAAATCCTCGTCTTCGTTAATCTTTGATTCTTCCTTCTGGATAAAATCTTTACAAGCATCTAATATAACATGATTCTGATCCAACTTATATTTTTGAAATGGTTTCTTAAAAATATCGCAAAATGAGCTAGAGATATTTGTGAAAGGTTCTGATTTGATATCGAGGACTCCTGAACATATCGGATGATCAAATCCAAGATTTTCTACATTTACATTATTAAGTTCCATTTCTATCCTCTCCTACATGGTTCTTTCATAACTTACGCTCCCGTTTACACACTGTCCAACGTCACGCTTCAAAGATCGTAAATTTGCATTTGCGTCTTCGTGCCAAGCTTCAGTATCAATTACTAATGCTTTCATTTCAAAAAGCGAACATAAGTCTTTGAACGCAGTCGAAACCTAAAAAATGTTATTAAAATTAGTTCATCGAGATTTATTTTCAAATCACAGTAGATTCCACATCGCAGAATCAGATTAGGTTTCCATTTTTACATAAAGTATCAATTGCCGGCAGAATATCTCATAATAGCGTATGGTATATAACTAGTTACTACTGTATGGGAAGTAATAATATTACAACGGACACAGCCCTTCACTAATATATCCCACACTAGAAAACCTAAAAAATACAAATCATCATATCCACTCTTTAAAATAATATAGTTTATCATATTATCCGTTTAGCCAATTTTTTTTCGGTACCAAAACTTTGAAACTTCTTTATCCGCTCAATATCCTCTGAGAGGACTTGTTCTAAAACTTTTTTCAAAATATTTTCAAAGTTCTCCACCTCCTTTTCAAAAACGCCTATCCATTCACCTTGTTCTACTCGTATATATAACGCTGTAGAGATTCTGACGATATCAAGGAGTTCTCTGGTTAAAAGGAACTCTTTCATGTTTAGATAGAATAGAAGTTAAATGTTAGTGAAAAGCTTGCTAGTCGAAGTAAAAAAAATAATGTACGGTAAATTCCAATACCTTTTCGCCATACTGCCCTTTTAAATGTCTTACATTTCCCATTTACGTCCTCTCTAATTCATATTCATGTTAGGAGGAGAAGAAATAGGAGATATGCAAGGTACTTTACACTAAAATTTTATGTTTAAGAGTAAGACATGTGGAATGTGCATTGTAGATCTCAACATTGCAAAGGTGTTAAGAAATATGCATATACAAACTTTTTTTTATTTCACTTGCTTGACGCTCAGTAATAAAGGTCTAGTAACATTATATAAATATACTCTGGTTGAAATCTAGTAGGAATAACCTGTAGCTCTGGAGGAAATAAACTCATAAATAAATGCTATTCAGATAGATAGGGAAAAAATTCGAAATATTTTGGGGATCGATTTCTTATGTGTGGAAATTAATTTGTCGCACAAGCAGTCACATAGAGTTACAGATGATTTGCGGTATATCATTCATTACATCATATATACTTTAACGAGGATCGCAAAACGTGCTAATTTATGTCGCACATGCTAACATGCATTGGCCTTGAGGCGCTTCGCATGGCTGGACAATATATTATTTTATTAAGACAATATTCAGGATCTGGGTCAAGGACTGATCTGGAAAATTCAGCAGGTGATACATTTCATGCATAACGCCTTTGACCAATTTTACTAGGCAATCATGCAGATTATATAGCCACAAAAAAAATAAAGTATAAGTTATGTTTGGCTTCGACATAGTCGAGAGATATATAATGCTAATGATCGGTTGAAAGATATTGCGAAGTGCCTTAAGCCAGTTAGACAACCGTGATTACTCTCCCATCTCTTAATCTCAACATAGTGCCTTTTGGCTGTTTTATATACTGAGATGAGATAAATAATTTGCCTGTATCACTTTTATAATTCGATGATTGATAAGAATTAGGTGAAACCATTTTTTGGTTACCAGAGGTAACAGAAATACAAGTTGGCTCGAAATTTGGTACACTTAGCATAGTATTTTTTTCTACTGTTGCTTTAGACTGGGCATAATTTTCATAGTTAGCTGTAAAATTTGCATCATGATCATATGATACCAATGCCAACTTATCCTTTTCTGAGTGTGAGATAGATTGGGAGAAAAGCTCTAGACGGAGACGATTAATTTTAGCCTCTTCTTGTAATATGTATTGTTTATATTGCCAGATCTGAAATTCCCTTCTATCAATAGATTAGAGAATTTCTTTTCTTCTCACATGATCATTCGAAATAGTATTTCCAGAAATACATCTTTTCAAGTGGTTATCATGGTAGATATGAGCATTATAACTATTTTCAGATATGAAAACTAAGGAGTCACATATACTACAATAAATATAATCGGTTGGATGACCGTGGACTTTATCATTTTCATAAAGCTTTTCACACATTATAATATATCCATTCTTAGAAAGGATTCTTGGATTCTCTTCAAGTATTTTTCTAAATGGATCACAGATACGAAAGCACCACATTTCTGGCGTCTCATAATCATATCGTTCACCTAAAGAACATAATGCTTCTAATATTCTTCTATATTCTTCGAAGTTTACATCACTATAGCCTACAGAAACTAACTTATATTGGGCTTTACTATCTAAATCCATAATAGTATTGTAGTAGATTATAACAGATTATAACGATTTTATAGTGTTTTTAGTGTTTTCAGCGATTTTAGCCGATTTAGCAATATTATACTCTAATAAATATCAGATTCAAATTTATACAGATTTGCTGATTAAGCAGTTTTAATGATTTATAGCGGTTTTATTGATTTGTAGCCGATTTAGAGAAACTACACACCACTAAATCCAAATTCATTTTTATTCGATTAGGATTTATATAGGGCCATCTCTCGGGCTAAGCTAATTTTATATTTACATATATGCATATGCACAACGCCTTTGGCTAAATCACTTTGTGAATCTCTCGTGATTAACAGAGATTAGATGCTTTGCATGACATATATCGTATCACAGGAATCACCTTAGCTTTCTGCAGACTGCAGTTTACCCTAACACTATTATGACGCAGAGTTGTTTCTCAAATCACAGGATAGCTACTTTATTAATTGCAAATTACTTTATTATTTTTATAGCGACTATAGATCCGTTTATGCAAAGCGCCTCTCGACCAGTTATTAAAAATGATATTAAAAAATGATATTTTAAAAAACGGCCTCCTTTTTTTTCCTCCAGTCATAAATTCAAAAAACATTTTATAAACTAGATAGCCACGGTATGGTCAGAAAATCAGTAACACTTAATCAATCAGAGCTGGAATGGTACTAGGAATAGTCCCAGGGATAGTCCCAGAGATTGTGCTATAATATGGTTGAAAAGTAAATTATCGGGCAAATCAGCCAATCAGATTTTATGCAGTAGTTAAGCCACCATTTATCGGTTAATTTTATCGTCCAGAATTTGATACCCAAATTTGGGATAAACTTTATTATGAAAATTGCCAATTATATATAGAAAATATATAAATTTTTTCATATACCACATATATACTAAATAGAGACTATGCCTCCGAGCTCACGGTCTACCAACAATACTAACATGTGATATGTTTTTTCAAAGCAAAGCAATAACCTCTTTCACTACATAATCAATCTTATCACCACTTAATTTTGCAATTCTTGAAGCTGAGAAAGACCTTACTCGTTGTATCTTATCAGCTCCGATATGACGGAAAAGGTCATAGATTTTTCAAGCCTTCTCTGTTCTTTTCTGAAGCGCATTCTTTGTTACCTCCTTCGGAAATTGTTTCCTGACTTCATCATTAAACGATTTTTGTGCTACGTGCTTCTTATTTGTCTTTTTAAACTGATCAAGACGCCAGGACAAAGCCTTTCCAAATAAATAATATGTGCGTATAACGTCCTAATTCGCATTTTTGTGCTTCTCTTAAGCGTTGGTAATTCTGCTGTATAAAGTTAAAAAAATGCGGGAATTGCCTACTTCCTGCTGAAGCCTAAAGAGACCTTCTTTTTCTCTGACCTCTGAAACTTTAAGAGTATTGAAAGTCAGCTCTTGTATAAGGTTTTTTAATGTACGAGAGTCCTCAACTTTAGTCTTCGCTTTCTTAGCGGATGGATTAGCCGTAGATGTATTTGCCCACTTTTTATTAGCGGTATCTAGATTAACTTGAACTTCAACCTCGTTCTCATTTTCGCTCTCATCCTCAACCACGTCACCAGTATTATCCACGTCTATTTCTTGATCCAGTACTGTTTCTTCTACAACCACCTCTGGCACCTCTTCTTCTCCCTTACCCAAGTCTGTCTCACGAGTCTGATCAAGAGAAGTTTTGGTAGAATTCGTCAGCTGACTCCCTTGTTCTAACGGATTATCAACATCATTCACGGGAGTTTGGTCTGAGTCTACTTGTTTAGCCGTAATGACAGTAGTAGCAATGCTATTGGTCAATTCTGTAGTAGTGGCATTCGTTTCATCCACAGACGACCTTATAGACTCTTGTAATTTTATCTCCTTATCCTTATTTTTTTCTAGCCTCGGAGAGAGAAAGGTTTCGATATCTTTATTACACTCCTTATTCAGACATATCACTTCACCATTCACAAGATGCTTCTCGAGACACTTCTGGTAAAAGATGTGGCCACACAAAGCTAGAGTAAATTCTTTGATCGGATTAGACGAATTTGAAAGTAACTCTTCTTCACATAACAAACATGGATCGACTTTTGGAATTTGGACATTTCTAGCAAGAGTTTCGGGTATTGATTTGAGAATATTTATTGAAAGAGCTATGATTTGTGATTTGTTCATACTGTCCTGCCTTTGATTAGACCAGACAAATGAAAGGGCTTCTTTTTATAGTGTAGGTAATGTTCAGGAGAAACAATATCCAGATCTTCACTAGCAATTATGTACTGCATTTCGTCATTCCGTTAATCCCTGCAAATCAATAAAGATAACTTCATAATTAGCATACACATCCTCAAATTCCATATGCGAAATAAGGATTGCCGGAAAAAATATCTATACCTGAATATTGTTTTATTGATATGATAATAGCGTGGCCGGAGACATGACATGCAAAAATTGATTTGAAAAAATCATGTGAATATATATGCGATTCGCACATTGCACAGCCCTTATTCTTCGGCAAGTATTTTCCCGATATCGTACTGCGCATTTGTGTTAAGCGCCTTCGGCCACGGATCCACATGACGAAATTTTTCATCCTTTATGCTTTCACAGCTACTATTTGGATTTCTTGATTATAAGCCTCATAACATTCAAGGTAATAAGCCCGTTTCTCCAAAATACATGCCAGAACCCCATCCACCCTTTATATCATTCTTTATATTTTCGCCTTCGTGATCTTTATTACATATGGGGCAAGGTACTGAACTATTAAACACAAATCTATCGCCATAACTCTTACTATACCTCAAAGATAGATAAGGAAAACGCTCTAACACTAACCCAATGATATGTTTTCGTTTCTCTTCGAGATCTTCAGGCAAGATAGAAATCAGGAGTCTGGATTTGTTAGATTTACTAATTTGATCAGAGGAAGATGTGGATGGTACACCTATTTGAGATTTGACCGATAGGTTATCTTTGCTAACTGTACTCATATTATACATCAGGTAATTTTTTACCAGAAGAATTAGTACGGTTTTTGAAGTCTGAGATGTAGAGTGCTTACCTAGCACCTGGTAATTTTTTTGGGACAGACCCTTGACTTTTCTCAAGTGGGACTTTAGGTCTCACTTTCTTATTCACAATATGTCTCCATATCCCATCACGAAAGTATATTTGATATAATGTATAGCAATTTTCGGCTTGATGCAATAATGATTCTGCTTGTAACCGTGATACATAAATTTACAATATTTCTACATTAACTTTAAACTACCTATACTAACATATTATCTGTAATCCGGTTTCATTTGTCCCAATCATAGTTATTCTGGATAAAATAACTTGGTCGTCAATTATACTTATAAGACATGCATTGTCAGAAGACATTAACCTTAGTAAAACACTGGAAATGTTGTTTGCATTCAGTAATGCTAGTAAGAACTATACGAAAAAATGGTCATTAGTTTGTGAGCCTCATTCATGCCTTATTTGCATAAAACTTCAACAATTCTTCACCAATGCTTCTTTAAGGATGTTAACGGTTCGACCAGTTCGGTTTCGGTCTGATTTTTATTAGTTTGGGGGTAAAATCGAACTGGATCAGTTTGTAGACCGATTTGAAACTGGAGTCTAGACCGAAATTTAGACCGGAGTTTATATATACAGATTATTGTAAAAATCTTTGACGAAACTATAAAAATTGTGCAATACTCAAAATTCCTAATACAAAAAATTTTATTATAATACAAATAAACTGAAAAAAAGTCTGAATTATACAAAAAAAATTTTTTTTTTGCGATCTATTATTATCGAAACGTCATTCCCATCAAAGCTTTTGACCAAAATAATTTCATCTTATTATCCATCCCCACAATTTTAATATAAATTTATATATTTTCTACAATTCTTTTTTCCGAAATCCAATGCTTCATACAAATAATTGCTCTTGCTGTTTCAGGATTTAACCTGTTTCTAACTTTTGA